GTGTGTGTGTGTGAGAGAGAGAGAGAGAGAGAGATCACTTATAATACAATATTATTTACCTTTGCTATAAGGAAGTTACGACTATCGCTGGCTGTCAAATATTAGATTGGACGGCTTATGTTATGCCACAAGATCCGAGAAAATTTATTTTGAGCTTTAAACCTGACTAGTGGCACAAACACAACCACCTAATTTCAAATTTGATGATCAAGAGTGATCGTAATGTCTTTGTACCAAAAATAAATGGTCACTTTATATACCTTTTCTCCAAATGTTTAAATTTCCCTTGAGCGAACACCATTACATCGTAGCCATATAATTTTGTATTAGGTGGTCTCGAATCTAAAAGTTAGTTGTAGGCTAACTATGTGGAAATTGTATTAGGTGGTCTCGAATCTAAAAGTCGGTTGTAAGCTAATTATGTGGAAATAATGCTCGGAAGCGATTATAAGAGCTTAAAATGGAATTGATTAATTTATGGATCTATGGTGATGGTTATCATGAAAACATATTGCCAAAAAGATATTCTACTCGTGCAGAGTAGAATGTCTATTTATTCCCTCGAATAGACACTTTTAGGACACCAAATTCTAGAGACATAATCTCTTCAACTCATAGATTAATATTAATAAAAAAAATCCTAATTGCATCTTCTATGTACATAAAAAAAAGAAACCTATATAAAGAGACTATTTACTTTTAACACAAAGAGGTCACAATCACTTTTGTCTTTCGGATTTTAAAATGAGTGGTTGTGAGCATATCATTGACTAGATTCAAAACAATTTAAAGAAAATGATCGTTGTGATATACCCCGAGCCATTCAATTTGATATCTAATAGCTAGGAGTGATTAAGAAAGATAAATGGTTTCATAGTATACAATCTCCGAAAAAAATAAGGTCTCGAGATTGAATAGAGACTGCACATTTTTTAGATTGTGGGATCTAAGTGTTAAAAAACTCAAATTTCAAACTTTTTTTATAATAACCATCTAGTAATTCTTAAATGACTCTCAAAATTTCAGATTGAAAAAAAATCCTCCGAAGTAGATATTCTAATAGAGGGAGTAGAAAGAACCTATTCTTCCAAGGAAGCGTGGCATACATGCTCAAATAAATAAAGAGGAAGGAAAATTATAGAGACCCCCTCGCCCCCTCCTCCAATTGTTTGTTTTGCAGCCATCTCTCCCCCAAGTAAACATGTTGAACTTTTTTTTTTTTTTTTGACCAAAATACCTTTTTTTTTTTTTGGCAACGTTTCTTCCTTTCTCTCTAATCAAGTTTGTCACAAAATGTGCTAGACCAGCACAACTTGAATACATAAGCTTACCCAGACCGGCACAATTTCGATATAAGTTGGTCCGACATATTTTATGCCTAATTGACAAAATTTTAATGTCAGAACTCGGTCCGACATATTTTTTTGTTGAATCGACATATATCAGATGTCACGTTTTTTAAAAAAACTAGGTAAAAGTGAGAGGTATTTTGGTCTAAAAAAAATTAACGTTTTTATTTAAAATATAATTATAAAAAAAAGTAGTATTAAGATTAATTGAAGTATCAAAAACGTTAGGGTTAACATGTTTGGAAAGTACAAAATTGAGGGTCCCCATCATTTTCCTAAAAAGAAAGAGCAAAAAGCGAAAGTCATTTATTCAATGGATTGACTTCCCAGCCCACTCAAGGGGAAGATGAGAGAGAGAGAGGAAATAAGAAAAGCATACATATTTCTTTATTCTCCACACTGACATAATTACCTCTCATCACATGACCAACCAACCATTTTTGATAGATAAATTATGCACAAAATGGTTCTCAACATAAATGGAAAAAGACCAAATGGGACCTCCACACCCTTGCCAAAACCCTATATAGAGAATCCCAAGCGTGACCTAAGGGGCATATTCTGCACCCACCCCACATAAAGAGGGAGGTAGGGCTTGGCAACGGGTTGGGCCACTATTGGCCCGACCCTAGTTCCTATAGGCATCCTTAGGCCCAGTTAGGCTCAGAATTGGGACCATGGAGGCCTTGGCCGGGCCGTCCTGGTCATGGTCTTATCAAGGAAAATTACATAAAAAACTAATAAAGAAAATGTTGGCCTTGGCCAAGGCCAAGCTCAGTTGGACCTGGCCTAGTCCCATATTCATTATATATAAACAAGTTTATATAAGGTCGCAATCTTAAAATGTAGAATTAAAGATGCACCACAAAAATCCATTTTAAAAAGTTGTATGGATATTGGAAAACTCTTTAATTATTCATCTCGATATCGAGATATATGAATATGAAATGAAAAAAAGATTTTGAGTCCGCAAAATAATATATCTTGCAACCCATTATCTAGTAAGTTCATTTTCATGTGTTTATAGATCTATTTGATTTGAACCAATTTTAGAATTTAAAATTTTATAATTAAAGATAAAAATATATTTTCAAACTATCTTAAAAAAATTTATATCAAAATCAATTAAATTTTGAGATTCGCCTTAATTAGATGGTTTAAAGTTGCGCAAACCACACCCATTTAGACTTTGTGGGCATGCCCTAATTTTTAGGGACATGCCACTTGCCCATTGCCATAAAACAAGTTCCATTTGCGCGCATGGAATTGCAAAGGGGGCATTTTGGACATTTTACAGAGAATAAGACCGTGTATTGTTTTCTTTCTTTCGTATATTTAAAACGGCCGGGACGTTAGTCCCCGGCAAACGGAGCAAAGCCAGCGCGGCCAAAGGCGACGTGTCCCCCTCACCTCCCACTTAACGGTGTCAACTCTCCGTCACTCTCGCTCCTCTTTCTCTCTTATTGCCATAAAAAATGTCCATTCTCTGTCTCTTTCTCTCTCTCTCCTCTCTTTTCTCTTTCTCTCTCCGGTATTGGGGGGACATTGAAAGGAAAAGCGTTTCTGAGGGAATCTCTCTTCATTTCATTTTGCAGAAATTCATCCATGTCGGTAAGCTTTTTCATTGCATTTTTCCTTTAATGTTATTGCTTTTTGTGGGTTCAACTTGATGTTTGTGTGTTGATTATTATTTTTAATAAATTTGGCGATGATATGGAATGTTGGTCTTTCGCTGTTTTGAATAACTGGTATTTGGGATTGTTGGGTTTTGTTCTCTATTTTATTTGAGGAGGAAATAATGGTTTTTTTTGGGTTAATTAAGGATGAAATGCATCTGATTATCAATGCTTCTGATAACTTTTTGTTAATGGTCTGAGTATTGACAATATGGGGCTTTATAGCATGGTGATTATTTGCTTTTTGATGGATGATTTAATGCCAGAAAGTTGATGGTTTTGAGAATCTAAACATTATGTGTTCATAATCAAGCATCATTTTCCAGTTTTTTTATTTATTTGATATTGTTTTGTGGTTGTTCTTACATCCATGGATCCTACTCACGATCAGAACATGCCTTTTTCCTCTTAGAGAAATAAAATTGGAAACAATGGAGATTCGTCTAATATTGATCAGTGCCTTTTTAGACTCATGAATTGGGAAGAAATAATTACAAACAAGAACGTGGTGTTGCAATTGTTAGCAATTTAACCAATCAAACCCGAGCTTGATTCCTTTCTCTAACATATATATTAAGAACTACCCCATGAAAAAAAGAAAAAGAAAAAAGTGTTACGAAAGATGGAATTGATTGTCTCATTTTATTGGTGTTTTGTTGCTATTCTGTTATTGTAATGGGATATTAGTGGTTTCCCCTGAGTATGATATTTTTGGGTAAGAGCCACTAGACTTTGATAGCCAGTTTTAGGTATATATATATGGGATCAAGAATAACTTTTATGAACTAGATGGTTGTGGTTTGAGATATATTCGGATTTGGTATGATGGTAAATCATCTTTGCAAATTTCAGAATGGTTTAGCGTTTAATTCTTCTTCATTCATTTTAAAAATGCTCAGGGTTATTTGGGGAATAATCACCACCTTTTTGTAACTGAGATTTTTCAGAGATTAAAAGTTTCATGCTTTTGTCATGTTAAGTTTCTGCCTAGATGCAACCCTTGCAGTTTTTTCACTTACTGCAAAACCGTGTTACTTAGATTATGATATTGCCCTCAAACTCTAGTGTCCCATCGTCAATAAGCCTTCATGGTTGTTTGGATTATTCATGAAATATGAGAAACTTAAATTCCTATGTCAAGTCTTTTTAATTTTATAAAAGAAATGATTCTTTCATTTTTCTTTTCTTATTTCTTAAAAGACTTATGACCAAGTTTAGAAATCATTTATGGACTGATTTTTGTTTCTCATTCTGCTTCTCCTCCTCCTCCTAGTCCTTCTCTTATTATTATAATTATTCCCGTCATCATCATCATCATTGTTGTAGTTGTTGTCGTTGTTCTTGTTGTTGTTAATATTTGAGCTAGCCATATTCATAAGTTTGAGTCATGTTGAGCGTTTGATAAAAGAATGAGATGTGACAAACATGCTTCTTCATCCCTGTATTTCCGTGGTTCCTATGGGCTAATTTGACAATTTAGTTTTGATTCCTTTAGGTTCTTCAGAACATCTCTGTCTTTCTTTGTCATATTTCTCAACTTTTAAGAATGACAGGAAGTTAACCTGTTGTTGAAAAACTATTGAGCCCCATTAGGTTCTTCAAAACATTTTGTATTTTCTCATTATATTTTCAACTTTTGAGGAGGGAAATTTCAATAAGAAAACGTATTTTTTTCAATTCTTGTTTGTAACATGAACCTATGTGTTTAACATTATCAAAAAAAAAAAACCATTGAGCCCCATTAGCTTCTTCAAAACATTTTGTATTTTCTCATTATATTTTCAACTTTTGAGGAGAGAAATTTCAATAAGAAAAAGTATTTTTTTCAATTCTTTTTTGTAACATGACCCTATGTGATTAACATTATAAAAAAAAACATGAACGTATGTGATTCAATAACAAGCTCATAGAAATTTTAATCTAATAAAAACAATAGAGATAGGTGATGGAGTTTTAGGTTAATAATGTACTGATCAATAATAACTAGGATAAGGCTTCGATGATGATGATGATTATGAATGCACTGATCAATAATATTAGTCTGGATTGTTTAATTCATTACAGATATGCTTCTCTCACAAATGAGCGTAGTGGACTTCCTACTTTTTCTGTTGTAATAATGGGCTTCCTTTAAAAAAAAAGAAATCTGGTTAATATGTATGTTGTTTCAGACCTTGACTGATGTTTATGGGTAGCTTGACTTTTGTACTTCACCCAGCTCCATGGTTGGTGGATTTCCATGTTCTAGTTCTCAAAAATATTAAAACTTTTGTGCAACATGAATGTAGTTTTTATTGTCTTTTTGTGATTTCAAAAATTGACTAGCACAATGCCCCATGGATCCTTCTTACCATCTTACTGTTAAATCTTATTGCTGACTAATCTCAAGACATAATTAGATGGTTTCTCCAAGTTTGAGCAAGAAGTATAGAGACTGGCGATTGTTCTAATGCATATCAGCTCTAGCTGTTCTTACCGGTTATCATGACCTGTGAAGAGCATGATTATGGGGAAATGGATGTTTTTGAACTGTGGAGGGATTTTAAAGTTGCAAAAAATACATGAGTTGAACTCAGGATACAGTCTACGTAAGCAGCTTTAAATTGTAAACCACCCTATCACTCTATTTCTAGGGGGAATGGTTCTAAGTATTTTAACAACATTGTGCTAGTTATACCATACTCTCATGGTTGCTAAAACCCCTTGTGGTTTGAACTCCTGCGTTAGTGTTCATGGTTAAGCGCCTCAGAGAATGTCGAGATTCCAGTTCTACCTTGTGTGCATAAAAAAAAAGAGGCAGAATTACCGTTCTGCTGTGTGTGTGTGTGTGTGTGTGTGTGAGAGAGAGAGAGAGAGAGAGAGAGAGAGCGAGTGTCGTTGGTTGCGAGTCGCCGACGGCGACGCGACGACCGACGACGTACTAGTCGTACTACTACGTACGTAGGTAACGTTAAGGTTAGGGTAGTAGGTAAGTAA